GACTGGTAAAATATTTGAATTACTGGTATGATTTTTTTTTTTTTTTTTTATGTCAACCACTGTGCTGTCACTGTGCAAGATCAGCTGCTACATAAACTACTTCTTTTCAACTTCGAATGGAAATTATCCACCTCTGCCTCCAGGGTTGCCAGATGTGGCCAACTGTTTCCAGCCAAAACACATGTTAAAAGGTAAAAGACTTTAAAAAAAAAACAGAGGTTGGTTTTAAAAAGCAGGTTTAACAAACTCAGAATTAAATCCTCAACTCTGAATTGATCTAGCCACAGATTGGAAACTCTTGAGTTTTTGTTTCATAAAAGCTGGTGTGAGTTAGATTAATCAACTCTGCGTAGGTCCATTAAGTAGCTGAAACAACTGCTTGGTAACACCAAATTAAGCATAATTCTGATATATTAACAAAGACAATGGTTTTTGTTCTTTTTTTTACAGACATATAACATCACTATTGACATTCACCACAATAATTTACTTGTTTTTCAAACTTTCAGTCATTTTTACATGATTCAGCTTAAAGAATGGCTTCAGCTATGAAGTGTACACCAGCCCTGAATGCAACCAATCTGTTGAAAACTCTTGTTTGAAAATCTTAGTCTAATCATTGAGAGTAAACATGTATTAATCACAGCTGGCCTGGCCGTTTATTACCTCAGACAGGAACACTAAAGCCTCCTCATCAGCATCAGGGGAGCAGGGGGAAGGAACCCTGCAATAATCTAGATGAAGCGGATACATTTAGAGCTGACTGCTGAATAATCAGAACAGTGGCTGAGATAAAATAAAACCAAAATCTGTGACTGCATATAGGATGTAAAAATAGATGAGTTGGTCTCTTGGACCAGATAAGGTGACTTTTAGATTATTGTCACTAATTGATAAAGTGCAGGTTTCTGGAGGTTTGCTGAAATAATAGAAGGTTTAGACTTTACCCTAATGGGTGAAACTTGGATATTTTTGAATTTAATATCTCTGAGTTATTGAAATTTATCTGCTGCAATTTTAAAGGACACATTCAATGCATTAAGCCTTAAAACTTGAACTTTCTTCAGACACTCTAGAACAGACTGTTAGACTCCATTTCCCTTTTTACTTGCTTTATTTACGTGTGTCTATATTCAGTAGTGTTTTATTGATATTGCCATTAGATAGAATAATCCTGTGTGATTATTAGCTAATAAAGATAAATGTATTTTAACCTGTGGTTTTTTCTGTTCATTATACACGGTAAACGATTTTTCACTCAGGTTGGATTCTCTCTTCTTTCAGTAGCATCATTTCTTTTATTGGCGATTAATAACTCTGCTGTAAGCCATAGTCTAATTTATTAAATTGGTAAAGGCAATTGTATTTTAAACAGCCGATGTTACCCTCAATTTTAATGTCCTATTATCTACAGCTTCTAGTTCTAGTTATTCAATATATTCATAATCTTCTGGTAAACTTGCACAACAGTGCTAAAAGGCAGTCAGAGAAAGAACAGTGAATATTGTTTATTTAAACCCATTTAAATTGAGAACCACACATACAAAGTGTATTCACTTTGTATTTACTTTCCAGAAATTACAAGAAAAATGATAGACATTTAAACAGTTTATTAGAAAGTGAAACTGCTGCAGGTCTGGAGGGTTTCACCAGAGTCGGCAACCAGAACTTCTTCTCAGAGTTTGAGGACCAACTTTGAGAGTTTGTGAAGAAGCCGGTTGGTGAATGACGTCACTGGTGAACCTCAGAGGATTCCAGAATCCATCCAGGCTGATTTGCGGGAATCCTTCTTTGACAGTTAATCGTTGGTCCAAGGGAGAGCAGAGACAGGCAAGACAAACCAGAGTTTGGAATCTGAGAGCTGGTCCAGAGTCAGAGCCAGGTGATCCCAGATTCAGAAACAATCCAGGAGAGAATCCAAAAGCAAGGTCAGGGCACAGAGAACAGGTGAGAGATCCAAAAACACACTATGACAGGTCTGATAGGGTTCGGGCAGGCTCAGAAAATCAGGAGGCAGAATCCGCTCAGAATCCAGAAGGCAGACAGGTAACAGGAAGGCTGGATTAAACTCACTGATGGCTATTAATAATCTGGCCCAAGTGACTGGTCTGAGAGCTGGTGGAGGCTGATTGAGCTGGATGGAGCTGACAGGTGTGTCCTATCATGAATCAGACCAGCACTAGAGCTAGGAATCATCACACAAGGCTTCCACAATGGATTAAAAAGCAAGGTATAAATATATTTACAACACCTCTTTTTTTCTATGAAACTGTTGCATTAATATCTAATCTGTCTTCCTTTAATTCATACACAGCCTAATCCACTGTGCGACTCTGCCAACAGTCATTAAGTTGAACGTGACAACATAAGATTGAGTTATGTTGGTTTTGGGTTCAGTAAAATGTTATTGAATTCTATGAATTACTTTATAGTTTATTTTGAGTTTTGAAAATATAATCTGGCAAAACTTGACATTCCCCTCTCCTATAGCCGTATCAAAGCAGATTAGGCGATGGTGTCTTCTAGAATCTTCAGAACTGAACTGGAGATTGTTTTCTATCATTTTATCTTTGATACAAATATTTTTTTTCATCATCTAAAAAATTCAGGAGTCAGAGGGGCGAGGATTCAGAGCATATGTTTTTTTTTTTTACTGCAGCAGAAACAAAAGTGCTTCCAGATGAAGTTGCTTTCCTCTATCGTCCGCTTTCATCTAACTGCTGCATCTGTGAATGTCTCCATGAGAATATGCAGCACATCTTCTCTGAATAGCCACAATGAGCACAATTATGTCGAGGAGGTGTAATATTGGAAACGTCAGGCGAAAACAGATGTCAGATCTATACTTCACTGATCAACAACGGCAAACTTAATGAACATGGATTTCCACTCTATGAGTTTGTGGGTCTTCAGCTGTGGCACTGGGAGGACATTTGGGTGCAGCCATCGAAAAGCTGCTGTTTGGTGAGTTTTGCCATATGCTGGATACTCCACTAAGAAAAGAGGCAATGTAAATGAAACTATTAATACTAAAATGAGGGTGTTAAACAGATCTTTGAACACTAAGAGACACACTAATCAAAGCAGATAGACTGCTTTTCTAATGCTGACAGCAGCATATTTACAGCAGCATTTGTGTTTTAGCTGTGGAGCTTCAAAGACCAACCGCCTCCCAGGGGGTTGGGATCTTTAAGTAAAAGAATAAAGAAATGTCTACAAAGTGAACTTTCCAAGATTTATTTTAGCATGGTTTCTCTTGTTATATAAAAAACCTAAAAGCTAAAAGTTTGTTGTTTTTTCATATGACAGTTCTTGTATGAATCAGTTAGTTATGTAAAGCAACCCTCAAGCCAATTTCATTAAATGGCATAGAGCTCCTTTCTAGAAACACTTCTTTTTGGCTGTTATTTTTAAATGGACTGAATGAAAGTGACTTTTGACAAGTCAGAATTCTGCCAAAAATGAAAAACTGTAAATACAGTAACACTCATACAAGCAGTTTTATTTGAAACACACAAGGTAACCTACTCTCACCATACATTTTGGATGTTTCATGCATTAAGTTTCAATAAAAAATCGCACATATTAAATTATCTTCTTTTGTGGCTTGCTTGTGGATCAGTTTCTGCTTAGCTTTGTCACACTTTGTCACTTGTCAGGCAATAACCAAGTGGAGAAAGTAAATTGCCTGTGATTGGCTACTTTTAAGCAAGTCCTGTCTCTAAAAACCGTACTGTTGTATCATTATCGCATGGCGCTGATGACTAGATTGGCTATTCCATTCAGCTGTCTAGCTCCGCCCAGTTTTCTCCTTAATGCTCATCTGTTTCACCTGCTCCAGTCTCTATTTAACCTGTCTTCTTCCAGCTGAGAGTATTCTAGCAGATATTATTGTTTCTGATGCCTGATCCGTTCTGCCTGGGGACTTTTGATCCTGACTGTTCCCTTTCTGATCTGTTTGCCTGACCTGTCATTGGACTTAACTGCTTGTTAACAAAACCTGGAACTGCCTCCTGAGACTGACCTGGATTTCCCTTCGGTAAGTCCTTGGATCTTTGGTCTTCTGTCCCAGATTTCCGTGGCTCTACTCTACACCATTGGCTTCGCCCTCTGGATTGTCCTGCCTTTCTTCGTCTGCTTGGATCTCCTGCATGTTCTTCAGTGTTCGGGGCTTCAATGGGACTCTCTGGGCCATGTTTGCTGCATCTTGTCCCAGCCAACTGGCTGGAAACTACCTCTTCCTCTGGGCACAGACTGAATTTTAACACCCGGTTAGTGACTCACACACTGATAATCTTCCTCTGCCAGATTAATGTGGTCACTAACCTGTGTTTTCTTCCTGGAGAGGTTCCTGCCTTAGTTGCCCTAGCTGTTTTTTGCAAATCTGTCATATCTAATAAACATGTTTTAGAGATCATACTTTCTCCTTGTCTGAATACTGGGCCCTCTATTCTGAGCCTTGGCATGTTGTCTTTCTGGTTGTGGCTAGTAATGTTAAAAAAGCATCTTTAGGTCATCACTCTGGACTGGCAGATTCCAAACTCTGGTTTGACTGCTTGTCTCTGTCAATGAAGGATTCCGCCAAATCATGACATTCATCATTGACTTTACATGCTGACCGGCATCTTCAGAAACTCTGAGTTTGCCTGTTTACCTGTTAATTAACTATAACTTCCAGTTCTAGTTATTTGATATAGGTATAATCTTCTGGTGAATTGGCACAACATGAATTTGTACAGTAACTGTACCACTGTACCACAAATTATTTTTGTGGATTTGTGATGAAATTCAGTGAAAGACTAAAGAAAAAATAATGTTGCTTTATGTCTGACCAATGTAAAAAGATACCCACAAGAAAAAAAGTAGCTACTTAGGAAATGCAACGATTGGATGATATAGATGTTCAATACTTATTCATTAGATGAAATAACGAGAATGTCTGGCCTTACTTAGTTAGTCATACAGTAATGGCAGCACCTTGAACATTCAATATGTGAAGTCACTGATGTATGAATTGCATTGGGTTCCACAATGGACCAAGCTCCTACCTGAGCTGGGGATGCGTTTAGCTGTATTGGAGGATGTGTGGGAGGTGGATGTGGAGGCCACCCTCTGGTCTGAACTCATGTTGTCTTGGCTCAATGGTGAGGTGGACTTTCTTGGCTTATTATCTTTCAGGTGCAGTGGGGAGCTCTTCTTGGCGGGGGGCAGTGGCCGTCGAGGCCTGGCTGTGGCGTTGACCTTAAGCCAGGCTTGGGCTTTGTATTCCACAATCTCTCCATAGTTGGCTCTGGTCACCCGGCACTCATAGAGTCCTTCGTCATTCTTGCTGACTCTGGAGATCTGTAGCTTGTGGGAGATGTCATTGCCTTGGACCTTCACTGTCTGTTAGAGAGATTGAAAGAGACAACTGTCATAACCAGGGAGTGGAACGATAGATCTTATTGTTTCCTCAAATGGTTGTGGATAATTTCTATGTATGTGCTTTGATTCTCGGTCGTAGGAAGCTTTATGTTCCTTCAGATGTAGGTAAATAATACCTGTTTTTATCTTTTGGATATACTCATGCTATTTCTCTAAAAAGTGAAATGTCTCAAGTTTTAGTAGCAGTGAGAGGGATATTCTATCAATATCTTCTTTGACCAAATTGCACACAAAAAAATGTCAATCTAATGAAGTCTGACCAACTTATATCTACCCAAAAAGTGTTTTTGGTCTTGTTTTGAGATTGACATACTAAGAAAGAACAGATACTATTGGATTATCAATCTTCTTTTAAAAGGATTCTACTTATAATAAATCCAATAATCTGCTAGTACAGTAGAACAGTTACTCTTGGTAAGACTATTTGAAATCCTTATATATATTTATTCTTAAAGCAAGTGCTTTTGCCAAGAGCAGATTATGGTACTCATAAATAATCTTTTGCTTCAAGGAGAACAGAAAAATCTTTTAGATAAATTTAACTCGACAGTGACTGATGTTGCAAAATGTACTTACATTTAGATATTTTGTGTGCAAATTATTGAAATTAGGCATTCCTTAGCATAATTCTACATGGTTAGACATTCCTTCCATTAAATTATATTTTTAAGTGTAAAGCATTAATAAATTAGAATTAACGGAATTTGGACTAAGAGTTTAATGTAAATTTGTGACAGGTCTAAAGGAGGTGATAGGTACATGCCTGTACCAAAAAGATCAGAATCCACTTGATTATGAAAAATAAGGCGATATGTGCACCAATTGTCCATCTTGGTACTGCTTTGACTAATAAGTTGACATAAACAGATACAGTAGCAGCCATTAACAATGGCCCTTCCCAGCCGAATGGCAGCCAACTTCCCTGCAACTCCCGGTAAAATCCCCTCCAACTCCCAGCCCCTGTAGTGACCCCCCTCTTGCATCTTGTTGCCAAAAACCACCCATTAGTTGTAGCATTAGTAAACCTGGCAACTGTCTAGCAAACATTAGGAGTTGGGAAAACATTCACATCCCTAATAAAAATATTAGGATACTGTCTGTCAGCTTATTTCATAAAAGTTTTCACATCCATCAATACAAACAACTGTGAAGTTGTGCTTTAAATCAAAAACACATTGTAGAAACGATACTTGCAGGTTTAAGGATTCTGATGATTTTTAGTTGGATATCTGAAGGACGGGGAATCACATTCACCTGAAATCTAGCAGCTGCAGAGGCTTTGTGGAGAAACACCTTCGCATTGTCAGGCTTCATTAGGAGAAGGGCTGGAGCCCTGCGAGCTGCACACAGTGACTTTGAGCCGAGCCTTTTTACACCTAAGCCCTGGGCTATTTTTGAATTCTATCTCGCCAGAATACAGAAAATATCAGACTGAGCAGAAATCCTAGCTTGGGTTCTGCAAGCAGATCTGTTGTACTGTAGATCTGCTTAGCTCATGTCACCATAAATGAAAACCACTCAGCGCTACAGTATGTCCACATTTCTGCCTCATTAAAACATAATTTCAGCTCATTAAATCTCTTAAAATACATTCAGTAAGACCATGATGCTGTTGAACTTTCCGATTTTAATCATTTCAAACAAGAAATGTAAATGACATTTACTGCATAATTCAAAGCTTAGTATTTTGGTTTTCCTTCATTTAGACAGAGGCTCTACAGTCATTTAAAGGGACAGAAGGTTAAAAGTGGAAGCAGAAAAAAGCCTGACTCAACACACAGTACAGACAGGACCGGATTTAGGAAATTTGGGGGCCAAAACAAAAACAGAAATCAGAACACTTAACATTATAAGCGTTCTGATGGCATTTTCGCAAAAGGATTGTAATCAAATACATAATTAATGTGCACAAGAGTTTTATGGGGTCCCCAGTATTTTTCCTTATATATATATATATATATATATACATATATACATATATACAAAGCCTTTTCATACTTTTGTAATTCTATTTTCACAATTTATTTGCCATTGGATTGATGTAACTTCTATTGAAAATCCATTATGAAACAGAATAGAAATGTGCTTCTGTGCTTAAACATTGTAGGTCACATTAGCATGACCCCAATTTAACGTTTTTGTATGAAGTCAGAATTCAAAACGGCCCATGTGTAATAAATACTCATAAGAACAGCTTTATTTAAACACACTTATGTAAACTACTCTCAAGGCGCATTTTGAACATTTAATGTATGCAGATTTAATAGCAATAAGCCCCAAATTTTCTGCTTTCCTGGCTAGCTTTTTTAGGTGCATGTAGCCTTTCACCAACTGGAGAATGCACCTGTGATTCGCTACTGCCTCTTGAGAAGGTATTATTTTTCTGCTGGTTGTGGCTAGTAACATTCAGAGCTGGGTAGAGTAACAGAAAAATGGTAATCAAGTGAAAGTAGTACTACTTCAACGTGCTTTTTGCTCTACACAGAACTCTTCTACTTTCTGAACTTTAGTCAGCTCCTTTGTTTCCTGTGAAAAGACAATTAGAAGAAATTTAATGATACTATTACTTGGTTTTGGTGCTCAGACCTCAGCAGGAAACATAGTGCTGAATTTTGATTGATATGCATGAACAGGAGCAAAGAATAGGGCTGCCCACCCCCCCACCCCCCAGCAAATGTTAGCATTAGCATCGGTAGACCTGGAAACTGATGGAAAACCTCCCAACAGAGGGATAGAACGAGAAAATAGGGCCATTTCTCAATATGTGCAGTTGTGTGTTCTAATGTACTGATCCAATTCACAAGAGCACAAGACTGAGAAGGATAAAATCCCCGGATGTAGTTCTTGCCGTTCCCTCTTTATCAAGGATACATCAGAGCAGACTTGTCCGTTTGTCACTATACGATCCTTCCTGGAAGCACAATTCTTCCTCATTTGCTCTTCCAGATATACATCCAGGTCGCCCTGGATTTTACTTTGTTAAAAACACCTAAATTAGTTTTTCCCACCCTTAAAATAGTAAGCGTACTAAAATATAATGTGTTAAAGGTTAATAATGATTTTCTTGAGAAAGTAAATGCCTTAAGTTCTTTCCTGTTTTATCACTCGTCTCTGCCTGATCTGCACCGGAAATGGGATCCTACGCTACCTCCGGGAGCTAACTTTTACGGCTTTGGATTTAAACATAAATCTAGTCTTTTTGAGTTTGATGTTTTCCTTGCGTGTTAACATTATGGTATATAGTGCGTAATCTAAAGAAAGAAACAACTAAGATGCAGATAAACATGGTTTACTCGTATTTTGACAGCTGATCCAGCATGCACTGCGGCAACAGCAGTTTTCAGTGGAGCGCTCATAGCGCTGAGTATTAAGTTAAAAGTTCACTGTACTGTTGCCTTTGCTCTGAGTATGTTTTAAGATTATTTGAGGCAAAAACTTTATACGTTTAAGCGTCATTATATGACCCAGCTATTGACTTAGTGCAAAGTTAAAAAAAATTATTTGAATCTAACATTAGCCTGTCTTCTGCAGCCGGGACTCTGATGGAGATTTTTTTGTTTCTTTTTTTGTATTTGTCAAAACTTTAATTTGATTTGTGTTTATCTTAATGTGTTAATCATTATTCCCTCACCAAATTAAAAAAGTTATAATTTATTTTTATCTAAAGACTATTAATTACAGGAGGTGAAATGCAGCTCCAAGCTCTAAGTAAGTCATTTTTTTCTTACAATAAATGTATTTTCTTGAATTGAAGAGGTAAGTGAGACACTTTGCCAATAGAACAAGACAACTTACATTTAAAATTAGATTTAAAAAAAAAACAATTGCATTGTCTTATTTCAAGTGCATATTGTATAATTACCTTATTTTATAAGTAGAAGTATAAACACTAATTCCATTGGCAAATCATCTTATTTACCTACTCAAATCAGGGGTAAATTAGCTTAATTTAAGACCTTTTTCCTAATTTCTAGATAATTTTTGCAGTGAGGACTTTAGCTTTACAGTTACACTTCTGTTCAAATTAGATCATCTTTTTTCTGCGTATTTTCCCAGAGTCCAAACTTTCCTGAGTTTTTGTCAAGAATGTATAAGAATGTCACAAGAACACAACTCCATACTTGTGTTCTTGTGAATTGAGAGAAGGCCTAGGTCAGCACCACTGCAACACTTACTTGTTGGGAGGAGCTAAATTTACAGCTATATGCTTTCATTTTTGTTTTGTTTTTTTTATTTCCATGCCCTTCAACAGTATTTCATATTTCATCAGTTGCTAAATTACCCAAACTAAGGAAAGACATTAAAATAGTAATAGCTGATTGAAAAAGATGCCCTGAACACAAAGAAATGAGGACATTTCCCTAATAGCAGCATTGCTAATCTGTCATGCCTTAACACACACGTGTGACGACGTGAGAGCTCCAGTGTGATCACGTATTGGTTGACTGTGTGCTGCTCATGCAGCGCGGGGGAAAAGGAGGCGGAACTGTTGCTGGTGTGAATGTGTGAGTGTGTGTGTGTGCAGGAAGGGAACCACTCTGACAGTAATAACACGCTGCCACTGATTTCGCTGATTAGCTCCATTCTCTGATGGAAGGTGTATTATTCAAGGAAATCAGCTGCTGTTGTGCTGGCTCAGAGTGAGTCTCAGCCAACTCTGGTTTACAATAGAGCGTGTTAGGAGGAATCACAGTGTGGCATGCATGAGGTGTTCTTCAACTTACACTTATTTTTGTCCCCTCATCATAAGGATCAGGCTCTGGTATCATCTCCATCTGTGAAACACATGGAGACAGAGAGCATTAGCAAAGTGACAGCAGGCGGATGGGCTCTGAGGACGGGCCTTGATGTACTTTATGCATGCCTAAAACCACTAAAGGGATAACCAAAACAACATTTTAAAGAAGGCATCGTCTATCTACTGAGGCTTATAAATGTTGCAGACAAACATCAGCACATGGTTTGCGCACGGAGTGACTTCGTCGCCGGTGCCCTGCCTTTTTAAAAGTAAATGCCACTCTTCCTACTGTTACCAGTTTATTTTTAGTCTTTTGAGTGCTTCTGTGGGGAAATTAAAAGCCAGATCCCAAATGTTTCTGCAAATTGAAAGAAAAATGGTTTAAACCGGGATAAAGTGCTAAAACAGACGGTTTCAAGGGAAGAAGAAAAATATGTTAATGCTCCCGGCAGTGTCTTCTGTAGGAGTGACATCGCCCAAGGAAGCAGAAGACAAAATGTCACAGTGTCTGAAATAATCATGCTGAGGAGGTTTTCCTGCTATGATCAACTTGGGTAAAATGCTGTGGTTTAACAATATTCAGTTTCAGCTCTGTTGTCTATATAGTGCAGCTCAAGAATACACATCATCTCAAGGCACTTTACAGGCTTGGATTGATCAGGTCATACAGAAAAAAAGGAATCTAAGGAGGTGAGCTTGTAGTGACAGTCACTCTCATCTGGTTTACAGTAGTAGCCATTCACAATAGCAGCCCACTTCCCCACAACTCCCAGCAAAATCCCCTCTAACTTCCAACCACTGGAGTGACCCCCTTTTGCATATTTTTTTACTCTGAATCCACCCTTTCACTGAATTACAGGGTCTGACCAAGAGATGATGCTACTCTTTAGATCGTAATGTCCACAAATGATCACAGAAAGAATATTTTAGTACAAACACAGATGTTTAAAAAGGAACCGCAGGAGACCAGCCAAGGACAAGCCAAGGACCCATCAAAGAAAGTTGGTAAATTTTGAATGGCTACTACTGCACCTTGCAGCAATAACCCCACAAAAAAGAGCAAATTGCATAAAATCATTTGATAAACTTGGGAAGGTTGCTGTTAAAAACTGATCTCTTTCATAAGCAGGAGCTGCAACTAACAATTATTTTGCTAATCAATCAATCTGCCAATTTCGGTATAATTACCGCTTGCTTTGGCTAGCAGTGTCAGGTAAAGGTATGTTTTAGAGTCTCTATAATACAGTTAATGATTAATCAATTACTTAATTGATTAGTTGATGATGATTTCAATAGCTGATCAATCAAGATCAATCCGGTTTGTTTTAGCCTTACACACAGCCTCGTCTTCCTTCCTAACTAGCAGCACTTGCTATTTATCATGGAACAGATGGGTTTTTGGAGCTCACAACAACACAAGTGACTGCCTAGCATGTCAACCCAGCCAGCCCTACAGTACAGCAAGTGTAGCGCAACTCCGCTCAGTCTGAAAGGCCCATAAGGAGGATGAAATGACCTCAGTTTCACACCACATGCATGGTCTGCATTCAGGATATGTGCTAGCTACCTTACAGGAGCTGAAACACAATGTAGAGGCAGAGGTTGGAGAGAAAGAGAATTTAAAGGAAGAATGAAGACCGTTGTTCATACACTGGAAGCCCTTCTGATATAGAACAGTGCTATCAGCAATATCCTTATTGACGGATAAGAAATTGGGACGCATAAGAAATTGGTCTTTGAGATGTCGTTTCCTGATGTTGTCTTCATTTCTATTTAACCTGGATTTCCCTTGGTGTTGACTTTAATATCCAATGTGAGAATTTAGATAAAGGAGCACACCAGGTAACCTCTGAATTAGCACTATACACCCATTGGGTGGAGTCCTGGCAACAGACCCCTTTATATGACAAAGGAAAGCGGTGTTTGCTTTGCAGTCAGGACCCTCAAAGGCGACTGGAGAATGAATAAAGGGATACAGTCTGTAAATGGCTGAGTTCAGCCATTTGGGGAGATACTGCGAAGTCGGCTTACAACCGAGAGATGGCGCTGGTCTGACTAATCAATCTGGAAGAAGAACTTGTTTGCACACGTGCAGTGCGTGAGGTTCTGGTAAATTAGCTCATAGAAACTCATAACTCTGCTTCAATGGCAGCATTTGCTAACGAAAAATGAATTTGAAACAAGTTTGATGTCTCCCAACCTTCCGATACCTGATTGGGAGATGGCCCTGTAAGGCTAATCGCCCGTCATTACTTCCTCTATATTACACGATGCAGGACGTACAATGAGGCTGAAAGTCGCACCGATCAAAAAAAAAATTCTCTCACTACAGGAGAATTGGCCTGAAAAGGGCAAGAAATGATACAGTTTGTGCCTGGCCTACAAGGAACTTTGATCTCAGTGAGGCAGACATCTGTCATTTTCTATTTGGCAATGTAAATACCAGAATTTCACCTACAATATCACACATTAAGTAGCTTCCCTCACTGGCCGACAATCCAACATTCAAAATTTGATGAGTTGGTGCCACCCTTTGCTTTGTGGCAGTACTTTATGAGTTTACTGAAAACTTACTTGCTATGAAGATTTTTATGGAGTTTTTTCCAAGAAAAAGTCAACTATCTGACTGACAGTGTCTATTTGGAGAAGAGACATCTCGATCCTAAAAGTTTTCGAAAGCAGATGAACTACTTTCTCCCTGTGTCTCAGTGTGTCAGGCAGTTCTAGATGCTATTGTGTCCCAAAAGTATTAAATGCTGAAGACAAATCAGACCGTGACTTGACACAATGGCAACACCTGCATCATGGCGCAATGGGGATATAGAAGATTGTGACTTAAGGGTCTCAACTGAAATGCGCTATCAGAGAGGTTTTAAGGTTGCTAATGCGATTTACCTTCTGGAGTTATTGTTTTTTGGATAACACACTGAACTTCGTCCTGATTTATGTCTTTAAATCACCTGTTCTACTGCCTCCCAGTAATCCATCTATTCCAGTTTCTTTGACTGAGTCCGCCCACGCCCCCTATCTCGTTTAGAGAAGTTTGTGTCTATTCCCAAAGCATCTTACTTTCTATATAACACTGTACCTCATTGACATGAGGTCTCTCCAACATTTATTCCTACCTATTTAATATCAGTCTGACATTTAGCCAGGGCCTTAAGGATGTTTCTTATTTCATTTAACCACGTTGAAGGTCCCTTTTATTGGAATGACCTGGCCATGAAATGCAGCAGCACTGTAATAATTGTGGAATTGAAACACAAGCACTGTTCAAAGGATTTCGATTGTTGGTTTCTTCAGACAGGCCAAAGGCTTTCGGTGAAACAAGTTAGAAGACTTTCGGTTCAGATTGGAGGGCAATCCAAGTAGAGAGGGCAGAGAAACTGAAAGCTTTCCTTTCAAATTAAGTTTGAGCATGGGAAAGGGAAACACCTCTAGAGTGTAAGGTGTAATAGCTTCTAGGTCTCTGAAGAAGCATATAGAAAAGGTCTTGACCAGGCTAATAAGAGCTTTGTGAACTCGATTAAATCATTGTAGTTTCTTTCGCATTACACAAGGTTTTCAAGACTTTTTAGTGTGACTTGAAATAGAAAGTTAAGACCAACTTCACAATAAACATAAGCAAAAATGGGTAGAAACAACTTTACCCAAATGTTTATTTTAACATAAACCATTACTTTCGGGTTCCAGCTGAATTTTGAAAAACTTTCCATATACTGTAGGAAGAAAGCTAAAAACACATGATAGATATATTTTTACCAACTACTGAACTGAATTCACTAACTTTTTTTTGTTACCTACTCAAAGTCCACCATACTTCTGCTTTCATTTTAGGCGTACCGCCAAACATTCAGAGATGTGGTTCTACTGGCACTGCTGTTGATGTAGTAGATGCTGTGATGGCATTGGAGAGACAGGGATGGAACAGAATGGACAAATACCTGCTGCTTCTCAGTAAGTTGATTCTAAAGCTTTGAAAAGACTGATTTAAGACATTTCAACACCAATCAACGTCTTAATTTTATATTGAAGAATTCATTGCCTTAAAAGACTTTTTAAGGATCCAAGGGAACCCTGTTATATTGTCTGAATATTATTTCAAGAGGTCATTAGGAGAGAGGTAAACTATCACTTGGACATGTGGCCTTGACATTAAAAGACAAAAAAGAGTTATACTGCCAATGCCAAAGATTCTGTTAACATATTTTTTTATCTTTCTGGGCTGTTGGATTAAACAAGAGTACCCAGAGAGAACCTGTGCAAGCACTAGGAGAACTGCCCTTTCCTAAGGGGTGGAGTCGTTTGTCCGGTTCAATTTTCATGTCTCTAAGCCAAAACAAAGCTTGTTTTTTAATCCACTCTATAAAGATAGTTTGACTGAAAAAGCTTCCTGGATGGGAAGCGAAACGTCTTCAAACTTCGAAACAGAGTCCAATGCTTTGTTTTTTGACTTGGATTAACCCCTAGAACCCTACAGACCCACCGGTGGGTCCAGCTGCCACGTGACCTCGTAATTCTAACAAACCCCCAGTATTGATGTAAAAAACACATTTGGCACAGTTTGGTGACATTTTTGGATAAATGTGCCAAAATGGCCTCTCCGCCTAAGAAATTTCTCACTAATACCATTCTAAAATAAATATGATTCATCTGATTGAGTCCAAATTTGGTATATTTTTACACAACATTTAGATTTAAAAGTCTGTACTACTTTTTTGTGCTATAAATAATATTTTGGTAGTGTTTTGCAATGTTTATTTCAAAGAAAATTTTGGTGAGGTTCAAAAAATGCAAAATATTTTGTATTTTGTCCCTAATATTTCAGGCAGGGTCAAAGCTACAATGGTGCTGACACCAGAAAACCATTCTATGACATCTGACCTTTACAGAGGTACCAAAAGTTTCTTCTTAAATCTAAATCTAATCTAATACTTTTGTGTGTTTTTGTCAGGCAGAAATTTATTTATACCCCCTGAGTGTGTAAGAGGTTAAGAGTTAGGATTCAAACCGAAGAAAGTTACAGTAAATAAATTA